CTGTTGAATTTTTAAAAAGATTTTCATCACAACCAGTACAGTTGGAAATTTTAGTCAAGATTTTAAATTCAGTTTTCTCATGGATGTGATAAATGATGATTTTTCAAAACACCAGCTTTTAATGGATGTATTTAGAAAACATTCAGGTTTAAGTGTAGGATGGCTTTCTAGTTTGGATGTTCAAATAGATGCATTTAAATAATTTCTATCCCTGGAATTAACAATTTGAACATGTTCTTAGCCTTTCTAAGACAGTGGGCTTTGCTGTAAATGTGGTGAAATTAGGACCTTTGAACATTTCCTGCCCTGATTTTCCCTTTATGCTGGCCTTTTAAAATGTTCTTTGTTCTTTAAGTTCTGCTTAAAAAATAGAAAATACTGAAATGGAAACCATCTTAGGCAGATTTCAGTTGGTTTACTAATTTTTTGAATGAGTTGAAGGCAGGCAGGTAGGCTCCTAATATGCTCAGAGAGTTCCTAATAGCAAAAGGTCAATACTATTCCATAGTGGAGGCAACACGACATATGTTCTTTTCTATGGAACAGAAGTAATCTTCTGTGCTCCCTTGCTTTGTCCTGGAACTTACAGTATCTACATTAGGCCAAAATTGTCTGTGCTACTTTTTCAACCTTAGGTCTGAATTTAAGCATCTATAAAGGCTGGTAAGCAGAGGTTGACTTCAGTTTAGGCTATCTCTAAGGGAATTATAGACACAAATTACTTTCAAGGATTGCCCTTTTTACTGGAACTTTTGCGCTGTTATTTTCAAATACCATATAATCTCTTAGTGTACTTGGATGGGGTAAATTCATCATTTGCAAGGCTAATGTGTAGTTAAAATCAGTTAAAGTGAATAGAAAGGTTTTAAATAATGGATGTCTGTACAGCATTCTGGATATTAGCTCTAATGCTCCTTTACCTGTTCTTGTTTTATACTGTAATCAATTCCCAGCAAAGCTTATGTTATGGAACAGTCTATCCTCATTCTCTTGTCCTAGTTACTCCATGACCTCTCACCTGGAAATAAATTTGACGGAGGGCTAACTGTCTTTCATTGTAGTTGTGTTATCTTGAAAAGTGCCTCTGAAGTGGCAAACTGATGAGTTCATGAATACAGAATTTAATTATATATATTGCAATTAGAGTGACTGTTACTTTTTTAGGAGAATTGTAAAGAAATGTTTGTTTTGCTGATAATAGCCTTACTGCCACCTAAAAAACTGCACTGCTAAAGGGTTCATCTACTGAATGAGTAAGGGAAAGCTTGCACCTTAACTGTGTGTCATTAATTATTCATCTGCTTCAGTAGAATACAGAACATGCTGCAGCTTTCTTAAATTGTTAACAGTATTATAGCCTGTTAAAGAGCTGTGCCAAAAACAATGTATCTCAGTAATACAGATGCAACTGTATTTACTTATATGAGTCTTTAATTCATCTGTGAAATTTGGAATGGGCCAGTCAGTCTTAATTCAAATCCTTCCAAATTCAGAGAAATTTCAGTTTCAGTCTTGACCTGAGAACCACCTCCAAAGAATGCATATTTATATCTGTCCAAAAGTCCTTTAGATGTAGTCATCTCTAGTAATGTCCTTTTCTTCTGTATAAATTTGGGGAAGGTGATTGTAGTCTAAATTGCACCTACTAGAATACATGTTATCTGTTCTTAGGTAAGGAATATAAAGATATTTATCCACATCAATAATTAACAGATTTGCCGATTATGCAGTTTTAAGACCATTAGAGAACACATCAGAGCAATGAAACTCTGCCTAGGTCAGATTGTGAATAAGGTCTTTAAAAACTGCATTCTTGTAGCAAGAATATGCCTGAGGGTAAGGATGGAGGTATTTAAGTGTTATAGGGTATAACTGTATAAATATATAAGTGTCTGATAGTGTTGTGGTTTAGCAAAAGTGTGAAGCATTTTCAGACTTAAATTAGGGAAATAAGACTTCTACCACAAAGAAGTAATAAGAAAAACTTTTCTCCATATTAGGAATTGGTATGATAGAGTACAATTCAGTGTGGATGTCTAACTCAATGTTGTTGTCCACATCACAAGAAAAATGTGGAGCAAGGAGAGGGGTGTTTTGAAGGAGGACCATATAAAAGACCCATGGCTGTGAAGGAAGGCTTAAAACTAAATGTATTAATTTACAGGAAGTTAAAAAAGTATTTTTAGGTGTTTAAATGAAGTGAAATTACTGGAAATGGAATTTGGTTACCAAAACTGTAACCTGTGGTAAAAAGTTAAAATTAAATGCATTAAACCTTGAAACAAAGCAAGTTATGTTTATTGTGAGGAAAGAAACATAATGGAACGTGTTAGCAGTGAAGAACATTTGGAGTCTTACATATTAGTGTGTGCTAGTTCACTGAAACGGGTTGAAGCTATGAAGCGGCCTGATAAGGTAAAGGTTTGGGCCAATTTCAAGCCTTCTGGCCTTGAAATTTGTCACTGAATCCTTCTTCTGCTTTACTTAAGTCTTGAAAAAATAGGATTCTTCAATTTGACATCAACATGTTTGTAATGCTTGCAGTTGATTATTAAGCTTCAGGAGGAGCTTAGCACCTTTTCTTCAGGGGCTCATGAGAGAACTTTTGCCTCCCATGCAGGACAGTTCAATGGATCCTGGTGTTTTATGGCTTTGAATACCTGGTTTTGATGATATAGAATAGATATGGTTGCTTTGTAATGATCTAGGATGAAAGAGATTTAACAAGGAATTAGTGTATTAGAATAGGATTGAGGAATTGTAAATGAAGATTTTGTTACCCTGGCCATGCAGATGTTACATACAGCAATAGAGTACTTCTATGACAATTCTTAAAATACAGGGTGGTTCTTTGAATGCATGTGTTGGACCTTTGCATTCTGGGCCAGTTGCTGATGCTCTCTTAGTCTGCTCAAGAATTCACAAATGCACAGCTGCCAGAAATACTTGTCAGAGTTGTGACTATAAATTGTAAAGTTAAATGTATTAAAAAAAGAAAAAATTAAGTATCAAATCAGGAATCAAGGCTGATAGCAGAATTAACAAAAAACTCTGAACTGTCATATCTTTGATTTAATAAAGCACTTTTCCTACAGGTGATGAATTTTGTTCATGTTTGAAAGCTTCAGCAAACATCTTACTTGCAATTTTAGATTTTGCTCTGGTGAGATGAATAGTTTCACCATTACTTGTTTTAAGCAAATATCAGGAAAAAAATAAACCTTCTTGGAATTCCAGTATAGAAGTGAACAATTTGTCAAGACCAACCCATGCTTTGATGTAACTGACAGGTGGTAGAAAGAAAAGCAAACATTTGAGTTAAAATGGGGAGAAGGGGAAAAGCCACTGTATGTGCTTTAAGTATGTAATTTTGGAAATAGATCTTTTCCCCTTCATTAGTGGGTTTTTGTTTCATCTTTGTTCCTGAGTGTGTTATGATAATTCTGTTAGAAAAGATAGTGAGTGTGGTCTGTGGTTAGTAATGTTAAGGGGTTCACATAAATGACTCTAGTTCTTTTTAGAATTTTGACCTTATCTGCAGGGGAGCATTTACTATCACCAGTAGAATTTGAATTGGTTTAGTTGAACCTGATTAAATTGCAGGATGGATGCTGTTACTTGTAATACACAATCTTAATTTGTTTTCCCTTCATGTGTTTGAATTGAATCAATTTAGGCTATGTATTTTGAATGAACACTCCTTTACAGGCACATAATGCACTCTCATTGGGTGTAAATTTAGATCCTCAGCCAATCCAGATTAATGTTTCTCCAGAGGGGTTTCTTTTATCTGGAGTTGGTTCAACTGTCATCATGTCCAATTTAAGCAAAAAGGCATAAATACAACATGAAAAAGAAATATCAAAAAAACATGGAAAACAACCACAGTTTCTGTTGTGTCAAACAAATGTTTGTTTTAAAAAGCCAGGTTGTTCAAGCAGTGGAGTGTTTACTAAAAAAGCATCTTTTAGTCCCAGTAGTAAGATTGGCAGTTAGCCACATGGAAGGCCATACTGCTGATTTAAATCAGAATGATTTTACCAATTTTGCATATCATTTGTGTGTTGATTCAGGGAGAGAAGCATTGTTCACTTGCAGTTATGCTATTTTGAAAGCCATGGAAATACCTAAAGCAAACATACTTTTCAAAGAGTGTTGTCTTTGGATAAGAGGGCGTATACAAACAGTTACATTTGTATAATTACACCAGTGTAACAATAAGCCCAGTTCTAGAAAAGCTCAAAGAATTGAAATAAGCTTTTAATTGGTTGTAGTAGTTGCTGATGGGAGCCATTATGGATATGTTAATCTCCAAAGTACAATTTTTTATAATACTATCTCTAAACCAATTCAGCAATGATTGCTAAAACCAGAAAATAAAATAAAAAATGAACTGTCAAAATTACCAAAGACAGGGTTTTTTCCCTTACCAAAACCAGTTGTTTATAGCCTGAGATAAATGTACTTAAGATGTATTTAATCAGAAATAATCCTAGCTATGTGAAACACATTGTAAAATGTGAAGTAGTCTGTATGCAGTGCAACTGAAACTTAAGTATCTATTTCTAACATAGTAATTTTTTGCTTAATATTATTTTAATGTTGTTATATATTACTATAAATTAATTAAACAATTATTGAATAAGTTATTAATTAGATTATTTAATTAGCTACTAATTTTAAAAGGGATTATTAAAATTAGGTTTAAATGTAATTATGCCTTGCAGCAATTTGAAACTGCTTGTGGAATATACCTCTGAAAATGTTTAAGTTTATTAGTTCTATATTGAGATTGGTATTGGAGATTTGGGAGAGAGCAAGTTGGAAAATTAAGGAAGGCTATCCTTGAATTTTTTTCTGTACTGGAAACCATTTGACTAAAATTTCAATGTTAGCCACTGTGGGATACAGAAACTAGTTAAGGTGCTGGATGAGAAACAAAACTTCTGCTCTATTTCTTGTTATTCTGTTAATCACTGAGTTCTGCTCTGTTTCTGCAGTGACTGGTTAAATGGAAGCCATTCCTGGGATCTGGATGGTTTCTACTGACACAGACTTTGCATAGCAGCTCCATCACCTCAGGAGGTTGCAATGAGTGGAGGAGGGGATCAGCCTGACATCCTCAGTGTGGGAATATTGGTCAAAGAAAGATGGAAGGTGGTGAGTATGCCTTCCTGCAATTCTGTGTCTTCTTTTCTTTTTAGAAAGAAGTGGTTTGTGCTTTAAAATTAATTTGAAAATTCTTATGAGATATATTTTGCTTAGTAATTAAATTAATTGTGAATGAGCTTTAAAACTACTTGTTTCTCTTACCCTACTTTAAAGAAAAGTGATGAAGATTTAGAGCGGGTAATTTTTTTTTTCCTGATAAGGACCTAGGAGAGCTCTTAAATCCCAATGTAGTGCCTGATCCAAGCACAATTGGAAGAGCACTGTTAGTATATTGAACCCAATGAGCCAGTGATTATATCAGTCCATTTTGGAGATGAGTCAGATGCCCTCCCCTGAAACCAGTAGGTTTGTGAGATATGTTACTCCTTGTAGGAAGATTTTTCAGGGCCTTGCTGGTCTTCCTTTTGTTTGTTGGATTTTATGGCATAGATTTATTCTCAGCTGATTTGTATTCATTTGATTGTGTGCCAGCATTGGCTTTGCCATAAATAGCTCTGTTCCCTTTTGCTGTTCATATCCTTCATTTGCATCTTGAGGGAAATAGTGTCCAGTTGAAGCTATTTTTGCTGGGAGAAACAGGCTGAGTTCTTGTAGCTCCTTCTCCATTCCTCTTGATCACTTTTGTTTTTTTAACTTAGAATTTTAAAAAAGGGAAAAAAAAAGACCAGTTCACAATAGAACATTTAGAGTATCTGTGTGTGTGTGTAGTGGGCTATGAATGGATTTTGAATTGCTCACTTTATATTACTCTCCTATTTCAAGTTTTTTAGAACTGTAAGACTGAACATAGAAGATACAAATTCATCATTAATTTTAAATTCATATGAGAGAATGATTTCAACTGTCTTGTACCCTATCTTTCATTTAAATATGCAGGAAGCTGATAGTAATGTTGTGTGGGAAATCTTTATATGCTATCTCTGGAGTATAAGTATTTGTAAAATACCTGCTTATATTTAATCTCAATACAGCAGTGAAGTAAAAACGGAAAGCATAGTCTTGAATCAGAGGAAATAGTATAAAATACCATTTAAAATACAATAATATACAAAATATAATAGATAATAACATGCATATCTCTAGCCACAAAACCACTTAGTTGTCTGATCTATGCAACAGCGGCTGTGTTTTCTTCAGGTTTATTTTCTTTCCTATGTAATGAAGACTGCTGATGACATAAGTGTCTTCTGGAAAATTTTGCAAGTATGCTGAAGTTCATTTCATGTAATTACACATTTTCACTTTTATGTTTTCCAGATACAGTATTACAGGTAGATGAGTGCAAAGTATTTCCTGTGGGTAGCTCTTCAATTTCTTATCTTCTGTAGCAAACATTAAGGATTTTTTGATGGCATCTAACGCAATAGACTTCCTGAATTCAGGATTTCGTAGGAGTGGGTCCCAGCAGAAGAAACTGAAGTGTGGTTTTTGGATTTTTTTATTGTTGAGGACCTTGTTCATTGCAGTTGTGAAAACCAAATCTAAAATTTTTGGACATGAATGTTTTAAAAAACCATGTTCAATTTAGTTTAATTTTAACCTAGACATTAATTAGAGTGATTCTATTTTGAAAAGTAAGCATAAAAAAGTTATAAAATATTTTTTCCCCAGCGACAACCCCCTTCTCTAGTGTTGTCTGTTAGCTTTTGCTTTTATTCTTTGTTGATGCCTTTCCTTGTGCCTCTTTTTTGCCTTTGAAACATTACAATCCCTGCTTGGAGAGACTTGCTTGTAATGATAATTGATTTTAGATATATTTAAGAATGCCATTCAATATGTAGTGTAAGCAAAAAGATAAAACTTGTTCGAAATTGTATGCTTTAGCCTGGAAGCATATAAAGGCACAGAAGTCAAAGAGAGAATGGAGAGAAAGAGTTTGGGGTGTGAGATGCTAAATGCAAAAAGAGAAGGCTGAAACTAAAGAGCAAAGTGGGAAATTGTAATGCAGGTGTAAACAAGGACAATGTGGTCTTCATCAAGGTAAAAGATGTTGAGCAGGTGTGGCAGGAGACCAGTATGGTTGAGTGGTCACCACCTGTGTGAACTGGAGAGCAAAATGCAAATTAACAGAAGGTGGGAGCAGGGATGGGCTGCCCAAGATTATGCTGGAAATGTTGCCTCAGTGTGATGAATATATGGGAAAGCCAGAGCTCAGCTGACAGTTGTGACTGGTGAAGGATGTGAAAAGCAACAAAAAAAGCTTCTATAGGGATGCTGGCAGCAAAAAAAAAACCCAAAGAAAACATGGACTTATTGTTGAATGTGTGTGACTCGGTGACAAAGGACATGGAAAGTATTTTTTTCTGTAATCAAAGAGAGGTTAATTTGTGCCTGGAATTACTGAGTGGTGTAATTATTGGGTGTATGTTAATGATTCTTGTGTACTTTAGCTGAAGATATAAATTGATCTGTTTATTTTGTTACTGTAGTGATGGTTTTGTTTGTTTTAAATTTATTTTAAGCACATATGTTGAGAAACAATGCTTTCAGCGGCAGTTTTTCGTGGTCTGGCCATTTCTCAAAGCTGGCAAATGAAGTTAGATGATAAATGTCTACATTTGTAAGGGGGTGAGGATGGCTGTGTCACCTCTTTCCTTTTCCTCTCACCTTTTTCACCATGTATTCTCACTGGTGTGCTTGTACTATGCTGAAAATTCATGTGTTATCTGTTACCTTCTTTATTCATAAAGCCTAGGCTGTTTTAAAAAATGTTTTTCCTGCTCAGTCAAATGTCTGATGGTGTTAATTAGGAGACATTAGATTACTTTTCAGAATCTGAAGATAGGTCAGCATATTGCTGCTCTCTAGAACCCTGGACAGTTTAGATGACATTTTATACAGTGTAGTCGTATAATGTTAGAAACGGTATGCTTTCAGATGACATTTAGAAAACCATATTAGTCTTAGGGTAAGTTCTTTTTTGTCTCCTTTTCTCTTTTATCAGCTTTAGAATGTTAGCCAGGGGAGGCATTTTGTGAAACAGCATTGACATTTTTTGATATTGAAAACCAAAGAGGTGCCTGTTCCCCGTGACCACTTAAAGCAGAGTGAAAGAAACACCTTTTAATATTTGCTCTGAAGGTAGTGCAAACTAATTAGTATGCTATAAGCATTCTTTTTACCTCTTTCTTGCACAGATGAAACTTTCAGTGCTGCAAGTTTCTTGAGTCTGTCTGTTAATAAGAATGATATTGGTGAATTTTAAGTGAATGTGAGTAACATTTGAGATGTATATTCAAAGATAATATTAGTAATTTCTCATAATTTATGATTTAGCCGCTGTATGAAAGTCTTTCCACATAACAGATAACACTGCCTCTTTTCAGGAAGTCCAAAAACTGGTATGACTTTATACCGTTATTATTCAGTGTGCTTATTTCTGAAAGGACAAAAAGATGTATTATTTTAAATACAATGTGCATTTGTATTTAAAGATCTCTGGGCTGTGTGTGACTATTTGAGGAACGACTTTATTCAGCATGCTGGCTTTGCCCAGATTCATGCTGGGAATACTACTGCAGTCTTCTATTATGCTATATACAATAGTGCAGATGGGGATCAGGTGTGTTCTCTTCCAAACTGTGGTTAGCCATACCTTGGTCAATTATTCAGTAGCTCTTTTATGTACTGAAGGATATAATTATTATTTTTAAATCTATTTGTAATAAAACAGCGTTTGCAGTATGACAGGCAGAACAAATTGCTGGTTTATTTTCTTTCCTCTCCCCTCTTTAAAATATGTTTTTGTTCTTTCTTTTTCCCCAATATAGTTGAGGAAAATAGGAGGTGGAGGATTTGGAGAAATTTACGATGCACTGGACTTGCTTACTCGGGAAAATGTTGCACTGAAAGTCGAATCAGCTCAGCAGCCAAAGCAAGTGCTGAAAATGGAAGTAGCTGTGTTGAAGAAGCTGCAAGGTAGGGCTATACCTTGGATATGTGAGAAGTAGAATGTCAGTGTATCTTCTTTAAAAAATAATTGTCATTATAATAATATTTTTAGTAAATATTTCCTATATTCTGCAGGTTCTTGGTAAATGATTATTAAAAGTGGAATAGAAACTCTTTCAGATGCTGAAAGTTTTGCTACAGTGAAGCTTTTGTTTGAAATGGGATGAGATGAAAATAAAACGAACAATAATTCAATTGCTGCAAAAATCTTGGTTCAGATTTAGTTTATTCTGAATCCATATCTTCTCTTTGTTTTTTGCTCTAGACTTTGTTATTCTTGTTTTTATTTTTTCTTCTAAGATTTTTTTTTCTGTACTATGTAGCATTGAATATTTGAGGGTCCTTCACATAGCATATGCGTTAAGAATATTTGTTTGCTTTGCTTTGCAGGTATTGCTGAGATTTCTAATATTGAAATAGGAAACATACTTAAAAAATCCCCATGAGCAAAAGCTCCAGCTTTAAAATACTGTAACTTGTATGAGAAAACTACTGGCATATAAAATCCTGAAATGCTTCCAGGGTTCAATTCCTTGAACCAGAGTTTGGATAGTCACACTTTCTGTACCTTTAGATACTTTAATGAAGTCATCAATACAGAGAAATATGCAGTGACTTCTCTTCATTGGTTTTTGCAACACAAGATTACAGAAAGATAGTTTAAACAATTACTTTTTCTTTAAAAATTATTATTTTTATTGTGGAAGGTTTTGAATAATACATGCATTCCTGTCAACAGCCCAATTTTTTCAAAGTATTACTTTGAATAAAACAAAGTCTGCATGACATATGGTGCTGCCTAATGTGCTGTAAAGGTCACACTGCAGCAGGAATTGACAACCTCTATAGATTTAAGAGGGCAAGCATGTCACATGTTATGATGGTAACAAACTGTTCCTATGCTTTTGTCTGTTTCAAGGATTTCACTAAAACATCTACTATTATATAGCTGAGCAAGGAGATTTTCTTAGAATTTTAAAGTTTCTAGTCCAGAGATAAATAGGAAATTTCAATATTGCCACTTGAAAGTTTGGAAAACATTTGTCAGGATTCTTGAAAGAAATTATCCTGAAGACAATGAGTTTTGAAGAACAAAATACTCTGTAACTCCTGGGGTTTTTAAATGCTCAGAATTTATTTTTTCCAAGAGTTTGTGGGTCTTTTTCTGTACACATGAACTTGATTCTATTTTACAAAACCCAGAGTCCTTAAAATGGAATAGATGAAAGAACTAGATGATAAGGAAATTAGTGGAGCTGAAAGAAAACACTGCAATTTGGTAACACTACAATGCCAATGGATTTATGAAATCATAACCTTATATAGGACTGTGTAACTGGAGTGCATTTTAACTTTCCACTGTTAATTACAGTATGGTGGAATTTCAGTTAAGATATTAGAACACGGATTTTTTTCTTAGCCAAAACTTTTTTATCTTTTGAAATACATGCGGAAAAAAGTTGATGAAATAATAAAATATTTATGTGCGAAAAATTGCCATAGGGCCATACAGAAGTTATGCTCTCCGAGGAATAATTAGAAAACTATAATTCCAAACAGTCCAAGTCTTCCTACAGAAGAGTCTTTGGTTCTATTCAATAATGGGAAACATCTAGATAAAAAGAACAGAACAATGAAACACATGACCAACAGATCCACTGAGACAAATAATCCACAAAATATGTAATCCAAATAAATATTTGTTATTTATTTTCTCAGTATTATTTCTCTGAGCAAATAATAAATGGAAGCTTTTGTATAACTGAAAATCAGATTTTATATGAGATCTTTAAAAATAACACTTTTTACAATCTTTCTTATGAGAAAACAATCTAAATATATTATTCCTTACCTTTTATAACTTGTTGCTCTCTTGCACCACAAAAAAAAAAAAAGAAGTTGGTGGTGATAGTAACACTAGAGGTGACCTCCAGTCATTGTTGGGGAAGTTTACACCTAATGCTGTTACTGCTCTGGTTTTAGACAAGGAATATTGTCAGTGATCAGTAAAGAAAACTTGGTGAAGAGATGGGTCAATGAACCTTTTGCATATATTGTGATTTATAATTTGCATAGATACAGTACTTTAGTTTTACATGCAGCTTTTTTTATCCATACTTGGAAGGTTTTTTATTAAATAAGGTTATGGTAGGGACCATTTTATGTTTTATAGGAAATTTTTTCTCCTAGGAGCCATTTGCATTAATTTCTTTACCGTCACAAGTTTCATTGTGGAAGGGCTAAAAATTTGAAGCATAGGGAAAATGAAGAAAAGTGGATGAGAATAGGGAATAGAAAACAACTTTATAATTACTTCTTAAAGATTTTTTATTATTATTCCTAAATGCTTTTTTTATAATGTAGAAATTAGTCTTATTTTTGACATTTTTTTTCTTTTCATGAAGATTCTGACCAGGTGAAATTGTAAACAGTTCTTTTAGGATGTTTTTGTAACAACTTTATTTTATCATACGTCCTCTAAGACCAACTTTTATCTTGTTCTTCTATCCCTTTTTGGTGTGTGTATGTATCAGTATATATATAATTACTCTTCTCTTCTCTATGGGTTTAGGTTCTCTTCTTGCAAAGTGTTCTAGTTACATTGGTCGTAGAGAGGAAGGAATAGAATTGTCATGAAAATCCTTTTTATTTCAGATTTTGGAAAATTTCCTCTGTAATAAGAGACAATGAGCTTGCAGTGTTGGTGAAGATTTTCTTGATGTGTGGATCTGAGTTTTAAAAAATGTTGCACAGTTTGTGGAATATTATAAAGAAACAGGCTTTTAGAAGAGAATAAATCAACAGGTGTGTTCTTCTAGTGTATAGTAGTCCTAGGGACATTTTTATAAATGTCCCTAGGATTACTATAGTTATAAACATGCTTTTGAATGTATCTGTACTAGAATCTTACTTCACAGAAACTGTGAAGCTGATATAAGAGTAGATGTTTGCAGAAGTAGGGATGCACTATTTCTTATCATTCTTCATTTTCAGAAACTTTTGAAATTAAAACAGTGCGGTCATTATTGCAGGGGTAAAATGAGTAATAACTATGTGGTATAATGAAGTATATAAAAGTAGTATCTTTGTATATGGTACAGTGACTAAGGAAAAACTTCAAATAAGTTCTTTTTAAGGCTCTGAGCTACCAAAACCTGCTGGAATATGTGAGCAGTTGTATGACTTCTCTCTTAATTGTGAAGGAGGACTAGGCTCACTGATACGGCCATTTATTACAGTTTAGTCATCAATTGCATCTTAATTTTTCTTCTCCCTGCTGTCTCCTAATTATTGTTGCAGAATATTGTTTAACTCTCTAAGTTTCTTATTTTTGCCTTTTTTTTCTTAAAAAAAGAAATCTGCTGCAACAGATGGTTGTTTTGTTTAACCATGTTTTTAGGCCATCTGTTCCCACAGTCAGATGGGAGAAGACAGATTTATCACATCTCACTCAGTGAGAGTGAGACTCACTCAGTTGGTTTCTGTCTCACACAACCTTACAGACTTCTCCCTCACTCATTTACAGCTCTGGAGTGTAATTTAGTTATGGGCTGTGTCTGGTGTAGGCTGTAAAGCTGCTGTAGTGCTACACTGCAGCAGCCTGAGGAATGGCACACAGGCTTAGCACCCTCCCTAGGAGATTTTTCAAGGGCAGAGTTGTTCCCTGCAGCCTATTAACATCATCTTCTCACTCTGCAGCTCAGCAGTGTAGGTCACAGGTGTAAGAAAATACTGTTTTCCTGTTGAGGAAAAGGCTGTAGAAGGTGTGCATAGCCCCACTGGAGTGGTGGAGGATCATTCTATTTGAATAAGATATTTATGTTCTACTTCTGTCCTTCCTCTTTCCTCAATTTTATGTAAAAATTTCTAGGAAATTTACCACACAAACTGAGTTGGTGCTCCTGTCAAAGTGGGATTTCTCTGACTAAACTGAGTTTTAGACATTTACTGAATTAGTCAGATAAAATCTGACTAATATACCTTTCTCTGAAGATGTTCCTTCACAATACCCACAAGTGGCTGTAAAATTAATCATAACTATTTAAGATGAGACTTCATTAATGGAAACTACAGGAATGAATATACAAAATTTCATCTTGATAAATTTGCTACTAATCCTTTTTCTTCATAAAATTATACTGTCTGTAATATTGCCTGTCTTGAACAAATGGGTGGAAGGAAAAAGTGGAGAAAAAACAGTGATGCTTAAAGTTTAGCACTTACATATTTTCAGAAATGTAGACATATCTTTTAAAATAAATTATTTTGATGGATCTTGTCAGATTTTCATTGTTTAAGAGAGCCTACCAACCTGTTTTAATTGGATGTGGCAGGCAGCTTCCTGAGGAAGCAAGAAAGGCGACCACTTTTCTGTCAAGTTTGAAATTGAATTGAAACCATTTAGAAGCTGTAGGGTCAAGTTTTAGGGTTTTGATGGAGCTACAGTGCAGCAGTAGCAAAAAGTGCCCTCAGATCTGTAGCTAGACATTAGGATGTTTTGAAAACAGTAATGAGTGGGATGGGGATTCCCTGGTTATGGCATTCTGGTAATCCTAAGCGTAAAGATATTAATGATAGAAATAATAGATGACAAATTTTACACATCTTTAGCAACCACTTGAGATCATCAGCTTTCTGTTGGCTGTAGCTTCCATTGGTGTGAGAAAGGAAGGTAAATGGCCTGAGGAACTTTAATCCTACAGTTCCCTGTTCTGTCAAAGGATGGGGCAGATTGGGATCATAAGGGGTCACAGCTTTTCTCCAAGTCAATAAACACTGGTACCAAAATGACAAGAGGTTTGCATTCCCATTCTGTTTCCAGCTGCAGCCTTTGGCTTGCCTTTTTCTCTGTATTTACCTGGGGAATCTTCTGCTTTGATTTACAACTGCAGGATAGCAAGGAGATTATTTTTGACCTGTCTTCTCTGCAGTTTGCTCTGAGGACAGGAGGAGGCTTTAAAGAAAATCAGCTTAAACAAAACTCTGATTTTTTTTTCCCCCCCCTTTTTCAGTATCCCTGAGTTGAATTTATCTTTTGTAGCTAAACAACAATGATTGTGTTCTAGAGAAAGATATTAATAAGTTAGATTAGTTGAATTACATTTTCAACAATTTTTTAATACAAAACATAGCTCACAGGTAGTACTACTGTTTTCTTTCATCATGGCATCTGTAGCTTACAGAAAAGAGGAATATTGGCTAGGAATATTGTCTATTACAAACCATTAGATTTGTAAGAAAATAACCTTTTCCAGTCCGAAATGTCTCCAATTTGTGGACATTTAGGCATGATGTTATGCATTTTTTCTTATGGAAGAGTGAGAGCTGTGGGAGAAAGCTTCTCTTTAATTGCAGGTAGAACTAACTTTGTTTTATTGCTGTTGAACTGTGTGGGGCTTAATTTATTATTTTACATACTTTCCAGTAATTTGTTAGCTATTTACAGGAATAAACCACAAAATTTCATTATTGTTGGCTAATTTGCCTTTTTTTCTCTTAGGAAAAGATCATGTCTGTAGATTCATAGGATGTGGACGGAATGACAGATTTAACTATGTGGTCATGCAGTTGCAGGTTAGTGTATCAAAGTGTTCAATGTTTGCTTGTGTCTTTAGGTTTATTAGCCAAGTGTATATGAATATAGAAGTGAAATTTTAGAGGATACTAAACAAGCAAAAAAAAGAAACCCAAAGATCACAAATGCATTGTAGTAAGTGAATGTAAATTGAGCATATCCTTGTATCTTTTTCCTTTTATATCCTTTCCATAAGTTTCTCAAAAGGGAGAAAGCTTGCATCCTGAGAAAGACCAGACTGTTGGAAGAGTGAACTGTGGTGTCTTCTGAGATATTTTACCTTCCTTTTTAGTCTTCACTTGAAGATAGTCTAAAATGTATTATATGAGTCTCTGTATTTTGTTAGCTTTTTTGTAAAAATGAAAAATTATCCTATGCAAGTAAAAGAAAACACTTCATTTTACTAAAAGACTTGTTCATTAAAAAGGTATAAAATAGGTGCTTAGTACTTAGAGTTATGGGGTTAATGTCCTTTGTCATCCTGGTGAATATTAATAGTGAACAAAGTGTGTTCTAGTGCCTACTGTTGTTCATCTGTTATTGTAGAAGAACAGTTCTATGATGTCATGGGGTTGCATTTCCTACATGATTTTTTTTTCATCTGTTTGATAAAATGTGCAATTAAATTATGTACTTTTCCTTAAAAAAGTGAGTGTGAGGAAGTCTTCATGAGCATTTTCTCAGGGGCCTTTTTTGGGTGTGACAAAAATACAACTTTAAGTAATTGTGTTTGTGCTGGTTCTAATAGAGATTAGTTTGTTCCATGTTTTTAGGAATAGACAGGTACTAAGTTTGCTTTTTCAAAAGCAAATTCTAAACTCAGTGTTGGAGATACTTGCGGATATACAGTCATTACATTTAGGTGTGATGTGTTACCTGTGAGTGTGAAAATAGGTATTAGTATTTCATGGTTAATCATGAACCACTAAAGAAGAAGTAGGAAGACTGTACAGCATCTGTGAATCTTGGTATTAGTATTTTTTTATGAAAATGTCCTTTTAATTTTATCAGGGTCGGAACTTGGCAGACCTGCGTCGTAGCCAGTCTCGAGGGACGTTCACCATTAGTACCACTCTGCGGCTTGGGAAGCAGATTTTGGAATCTATTGAAAGTATTCATTCTGTGGGATTCCTGCACAGGGACATAAAACCAGTAAGTCTGCCCATTAAATCAAAACAGGAAAGTAAGATGTGGTCATTAGATGGCTGCATAAGTAAGAATAGGTTCTATACTAGCTGCTAAAATGCAAAAATGAAAAAGGATGGAAAATTGAATGTTTAATCATCAGATAGGGCAGATTTTTGCTATTAATTAATGTTGGATTGCAACAAGAGTAACTTTGGTATTTTTCAGTCTTTGTCTCCAGTTTAGGCCTCCTTGCAATTTGCTGTAGTTAAAACTTCCAACCCTTATCTTTAGCATTATGTAACCAAGAGTATTTGCCATGAGATATAACATAATGTGCTTGACTAATGGCAACTAATATTGTCATATAATAAATCTAAAAGAATAGATACTAACTGTAGAGTGTATTTATAAGTCCTTCAATAGCAGTTTTTATGTATTTAACATATTTTCAACAAACAAGAACATGAAAGACAGACTGTATGAGGAAACTATTTTTTATTGTGAAATTCTTATTAGATCTATTGTTAATAGAAGAGACTGCCTTCCTGGTAGTATCATGCTTTGGTTCTTACTATTTTCTATTTTTCTTTGAATTTATTCCTGAAATTCAGTCACCTATTTTTGATATTGCTCTGTATGACAAATTAGAATAATTAATAATTAGAACTAATTAATAATCAAATAATTAGAACTCTGAAGTGCCAGAATTTGTAAATGAGGAAAAATAAGCAAATTTTTGTGTTTTCAATAGATGCAAATATAGTTTGTTATTGTATTTGAGGGGTTCCCAGACAAAGGGAGGAAGGAATGATGAATCTGACTCCATGTTCTTAGAAGGCTAATTTATTATTTTAAGATACTATATTATATTAAAGAATACTAAACTAAACTATACTAAAGGATAGGATACTTACAGAAGGCTAACAAAATAATAATGAAAACTCATTACTCCTTCCAGAGCCCCGACACAGCTTGGCTGTGATTGGCTATTAAGTCAAAACAATTCACATGAAACCAATGGAACAATTGCCTGTTGGTAAACAATGTCCAAACGCATTCCAAAGCAGCAAAACTCAGGAGAAGCAAATCAAATAATTATTGTTTTCGTTTTTCTCTGAGGCTTCTCAGCTTCCCAGGAACAAAATCCCGGGCAAAGAGATTTTTCCAGAAAATATGACAGTGACAGTTTGTTATATCTGACATATATTGCTAACTTTCCTGTCAGCTGAATAATGCTTACATAAAACTTCCAACAAGTTTCTGTACATTAGGAAAATTAGGAAAATTTAATTTCCATCACTTCTTCCTGGCAACTTTTTATAAAACTTGTATTCCCCCTGACCCATCCCCATTTAAGCCTTCATTTAATAGGAAAAGAGCATAGAGGCAGTGAATGTCAAGTGAAATTGGTGAGAAAAAATTAGCTGGAGCTAACTCTGCTTTGTGGTGAACTCCGATCTTGAAATCCTTGATGGTTTGTTTTCCTTGAGACCAATTAGGCAACACTGAAATTCTGTGAGTAGGTGACATGATTGGAAAATTCTTGCTAAAAATTAATATATTTGACATGATAAAGTAAGATGACAAGCTCTTTGGACAATTTAGGCCGCTGTTCAGATATGCTAAGTTGGATGCCTGTTTCTCTTAACAGCATTTTCTTCAAATTTATTGGGAGTTCAGTAGAAGCTAAAACATGGAAGGATAGAGAAATAGAATATTAATTTTCTGGTTGTGTTATTGCATTAATATGTGAACATATTGAAACCTGTGTGTATTCATCTATTATCTGTCTGTATTTCTTTTTCTTCCTAGTCAAACTTCGCAATGGGACGTTTTCCAAGCACCTGTAGGAAGTGTTTTATGCTGGATTTCGGCTTAGCAAGGCAATTTACCAACTCATGTGGGGATGTCAGACCAGTAAGATTTTTTTCACAGTTGAAACCCAAATTCTTGAGTGTGGTAGTATGCTGTCTTTTCTTCTGGAGAAGTGTTGGAGTTGCATCGAACTGGTAACTGTTGTAAGCTTGACAAACACCATCCCCAATCAGAAATGCCATATGATTTATTAATTATGTTTAAAGATTGGCAGTAGGGAATGAGTTGGGTTTCTGGTTTTTGGCTTGAGACAGAGGTGTACATCTAAGATACTTTGGGATAATCTGTCATTTGGTTTGGAAAATCAAATGATAAATAGGTTTTCATTAAATAGCAGAAAAATATACCAGAGCTGAATTTCACTTGCTGTTTTATACTGCATATAATTATATTTATATTTTTAAAAAAACCCCAAAACCCAACAACAAAAAAACCTTAGGAGAAAATGTAAAATCAGACACTAAACTGAATACATATAATCTGAAAGAGAAAGTCTGAATAACTAAAACAGTGATAGGACACATCATTATTGGGACTGTAATTTCAAATTTAACTTTTTCCTTACAGGAAAATATTGTCCCTCTTAATAAAGAGAGGTAAAAGGTCATTTCAGGAAATTACAGGAAGGAGTATTTTGAGGGACAATTTTACATAATGAAAATGTGTTCAAGCTTTATTAGTCTGCCCCAGTGTCTGAGCATACTGTCAAAAACAAATGCCTTTATTGCTCATCTGAAGGATCCAGGGATTTTACATTATCTTGGGTTATTCAGTTAGCAGAGACAGCTTCCCACTTGTTCCAGATATTAGCCTTAAAATTAATTTGTCATAGTTGCAGTTTTCTTCTTGTAGTATCATTTTACTATAGTGGTCTATGTGAATCTTCAAAACTGAAAGAAAAACGTAAAGCATAAAACAAAAACAAGACTTTGCACACTTTTTCATGCTACAGATAGTTCTCTCTCAGAATTACTATTGTAAAATAAAACATTTTTAACTGCTAATTTTGACAGATTCATTTTACCAAAGCTGCCCTGTCTTCCAGCTGTCTGAATGACTATGCTTGTGAGGAGCTGACTTCAAGGAGACAGGGATATGTCTGTTGTATTCAGTAATAAGATATTTATAAAGTGAATAAACATGTTGAAGAGAGTAGTGAAGAGTTGCAGTTTATTAAGTAGTATGATCTGATGCTATTACCTGGATAAAACTTAAAAATCAGAAGCAAACATTTATTGCATTTTGTATGTTTGTGAAAGATGAATGAAAGGTAACAGCTTCTGATACTAAATTCTATATGGTGGGGACAATACTAGGATGCAGGTATTTGGGGTACATGTAGAATTAAATGATAAAATGGAGTTTGATAAGGAACTACTAATTGGTGGGAGGAACCTTCTCTGGGAACGGAAAGGATCAGAAGAGAGAAGACTGAGTGTGGGAGGAACAAAAACTGCTGGGGATGATGTAGGCTGTTAGAAGAAGGAAGGATGAAGCACAGGCAAGCAAATAAATTGTTGGAGAGAGGAAGCCAATAAATGAATTAATGATGTAGATAAGAATTGATTACTGCAAAGCAGGGTAATTAGAATTTAATTGTAGGGATACTCTAATCATCAAGCAAATACATTTAGCAGGATGCAAATTTAGTATATTTATGAGATTCATAGTCTACTGTTTATTGCTTTTTGAGGGTGTAGTACCTAACATTTTTGTTATTGTTTGCTATTGTCTTAGAGATAGCTGAAGTAAATACTAGCATATTTTTGTTTTTTTAATGGAGGCAAAGAATAAATGATTCTTTTTGCATGTAAACCTAACTTCATACAGCCATCAATTTCCATGTCTCTGTTTACATGCTGAAAATGGAAAGTGAGGGTGTCAGCTGTAGCACAGAAATAGAAAACCTTGAGGGACAAAATGCGAAGGACATTTGCATTCTTAACATGATCAGTACTGCAGCCAGCTCTTAGGCAGTTGTCATCACTCCTGTTTTAAAGGGAACCTTAACCACAACTGTTTTCTGAGGTACTACTCAATTTAATACAAAGAAAGCAAAATAAAATATAAGAATAAGCCATTAGTCTTTGCTGTTAAAAAGATTAACCTTTAAAAAAGAATTTTAGGTCATAGTTCTTTAAAAGTCCATAATTTCAGCCATCATATATTATCATACTCCTGAGATTTGTGGTCTTTTATTTATGTAGATTGCAAATTATAAATAGGTGAATTTCATTTTTTTTACAAAGAAGATGGTGTAACATATATATGCAAGCTGAGGTGAAAAAGCTAGGGAGTAACAGCATTAAAACCCTATCCATAAGAAGGTGGCATTTTGATGAAACCTTTTCATCTAAAATACCGGTGGTTTTCTACTCGGTACACAGGTCTTACTGACTGGCAGCCTAAAGAATTGTTCAGATTAACAGCCAATCCCCTGAATCTGATGATTTGGACTCATCTCAAAAAGAGATTTGAAGGAGAAATTTCACTTTTGCCCAATTTGGTATTTAGTTTGGAATGTGGGATTCCTTTATTGAGACTATCGTGACTAGTGGGTTGAAATGTAATCAGAGGAGAATAGTTTTTTTGTGAAGTTGTTGTATTTTTGACAAATAAGACTTTTTAGGTCAAGGGGAGAGCTACCCTATGACTGCATCCCCCCATCTCCCCACCTATCTCCTGCTCTTCCCTGTGACTACATTTTAGGTTGTTCTTCAGTGGTTACTTGAATAAAATGAAGAGCTTCATCAGAGATCTCATTGTCATATATACAGCATGACCTTAATTTCAAGTGTCTAAATTTTCCTATATTTATTTGAAAACAAGTAAAAAAATCAAAATTGCATTATTTTTAACATTAAGTAGATTTGAAGTATTTTACTGTACTTAATTACTCTGAACATTAACAGAAATATTCAAATCCAAAGGCAACAGAGTATCCACCAAAATTTTCTGAGGCACTACACATGCTCTTTACTGGTGACCTGTCAGTGACAAAAATTGTCTTTGACTTCTGCTAAAGTAGGAGATGCACCAGCTGCTGTACAGTCTGACCCTTAAAAATGCTGTGAAAGCAGTTGTGAATGCAAATGTCTAGATTTTTTATTGTCTAGGGAAGCAGTTACAAAGCTGTTCACATCAAACAATGCGTGTTATTCCATATCAGGTGTTTCTGTACAAATCAGCTAAATGCTGCTTGCCTTTCATCAGTGCCCTCAGGTTCTGAGGATTTTCCAGCAAATGGGGTTTTATCTTCAAGTTTCACTTTAACGTACAGATGGTGTCCTAGAAATGTAGTATAAGAAGCTGAATACTTTAAAAAAAAAGCAAACACAAAACCAAAACAAAGAACCAATAAAATGATGGAACACACACCCAATAAGCAAATAAGCAACCCCAAACAATCCTCCACAGAATACTTCACAAAAATGTATTGGTAGATAAAAAAGCAGAGTGTTATATCCATTTTGAAAGCTTTGGAAGTCTACTGTACTTCAATTACATACAGGGACATAAGGAATTTTCATTTGGTTTTTTACTTGTGAAAATTTGGGAATGGTTATGCATTTGAATTGCATGGAGGCTTCTTCTAGTAAGATTCTGGATTATCTTGATTGCTGAGGAAGTCTAGAGAATACTTCCATGTTGTTCTGCCCTACCTCCTCTCATCTTGGCAGAAGAATTGCAGATTGTTCATTTCTGTATTTGGAAGAGAACATTGTTTTTATGATGCTGAAATAGTGGAAGCTATATCCATTAAATGCTTTTTATGATGAGGGAAAAGGAGTGGGATAGTTTTGAGAACTAAAGGAGGCAATGGTGAAGCTAGGCTATTGTAAACAAAATGGTCACTGCAAGTCTTTTGTCTTCTTTGAAAACTTTGGACCCATGGACAGCTTAAAGTTCTCAATCTCCTTTTTAAGTAAATGCGGTTATAGCAAACATTGATACAACTTTAAGTAATAAGACTTAGAAGTGGTCCACAGATAGTGTTGACTTAAACTGGTGCAGGTTTTTTTGTTTACCCCAGTGCTCTTCATGATTTAGAATTTATGCTGGTAACTACTGAATAATCCCTTGACTGAGTGAATTTATTATAAATAAAAATCTGTATACTAAGTTGTTCAAGAATAGTTACTGATGGCATTCCTAATAAAATTTGGAATAAAATGAGACCACCCATTAAATTTAAATGATTGGAAGCACCTCAATCTGAAGAAAATTGTGAAATTGATCTGGTTTTGGTGTTAGTTAAAGAACACTAAGATGTAGTAGTAGATGTAGACTTTCTTTAGCAGTTCCTTGACTCACCTCTGTTTTGAGTGACACAGGTTAAAGCAAAGTCCAAGGACAACTAGGATATGTTTATGAGTACAGTATTAAATGGCAGCAGATTTCATGGAAAATAATTAAATAGTACAGGAGAGTTCCAGGGAGCTCTTTGCTATCTTAGGGCACCGTATCATGACTAAAAAAAATAATTAGCTCAAATATGTCCACTGTTCTAAAGAGGCCTCTCTTCCATACCTGACCAAAACTGTTGAAAGCGCTGTGCTGCAGGGTAATGGTGCATGTCATTTTGTTAAATGCACTGTTCAGTCGCTCTTTCATCCTGTTGAGAAGCATTTTGTCGCTGGCATTTACCTTATGTTAGCTCTTCTCAGTAATGGCCTCTCTCAGTGCTGAACAGTACGTTACAGAGGGATATGATTAGCTGAGGATTACATGTGTACACCTAAACAAGGAACAGAGTATTTATTTTTCCTCTTGAAATATTTTTCATTTTCCTCAGAGCTTTTTGAAAAACATGTGGTAATAAGTTTCTGTGTAATAGTTCACTGAGGCTTTTACACATTGATATACTTTGATACACATTGATATACTCAAAGGGGACTTTTTATAAGTTGTCTCTTAAAGTGAATACACCATTAGCTTGCAACATAATTGTTTGGAATAAGATAGTGACAAAAAGTTACTTTTTCCTCCTCAGCTGCATGGAAGCTATGCGTGATGTATTGGACACCTCTGCACCAATGCTT